TTTTACACTAGATGAAGAGTTAAATTTGTGATTTTCTGGCACTTTTGCATAGCTGATAGAATTAACATAATTCCCTCTTGATTTATGTTATTGTAACTAATTAATATTAATTAATTAATAAATTAATTAAAATTAAAATTTATTAAAATAAAAAAAAAAAATTAGAAAATATAAAAATAAATTACGAAACACATAGAGTTAAATCAGTAGTATTCTGATATTTTTTTAAAGATTCTGAAATTTATCTGATTCCTTCTAACTGAAGATTATTATCTCTAATAAATAAAGAAATAAATAAATAAATTTGTTTAAGCTTAAAATGCAATAAGAATAAAAGTAATATTCATTTATTAAATAAAGATAAATTAAATAATTAAAATACACAAAAATATTATTAATTAATAAATTAATTACCCAAGATATAGCTTTAATTAATTAATATTCTAACAAGATTCTAAAGACTATACAATTGCGATAGCTCCTTGATCTTGGATATTATTTGACCTAATTACATAAAAATAAAAATGAATAATTGAATTAATTGCTTACTTACTCTATTTCTCAATATTTTATTTTATTAAAAATTTTTAATGAAAAATTTGGATGTTATTAAAAAAAATAAATTTTATAAATTTTGATAAAAATAAAATAAATTTAAGATTTTAAATAAATTACAAAATAATATTAATTCTTCCTACGTTAAATTTTAAAAATTAATTACTAAAATTCTAGATCTAAATAAGTGATTTTCTAATTATTTTTTAGAGAAAGTGCAATTAGATTTGCTCCTTGATAGCCAATATTATTATTACTAGGAAAAAACAACAAATTAATTAATTAATTTTAATTTTTTAAATTATAAAAAATATTTATAAAAATAATAATATTAAAAGAATAAATTACTAAAGGCTTAATTGTAAAGATGTAAGATTTTAAGATTTTAGTTATAATTAAGCTAGATATTTTGCTGCTTCTTCATTTAAATTATTTGACCTAACAAATAAATAAATTAAATTAATTTAAATATAGAAAAATGTAAAATATAAAAATTAAATAAATGGTATTAAATATAAAAAATAAGTACCTAAGATAAAGATTTAAGTGAGTAAGATTCTAATAGTTTTATAATGATTATGTAATCAATTGAACTGCTTCTAAATTTAAACTATTATTGCTAATTAATAATAAAATATAAATTAATGTAAATTAATAATTATTATACAAATATAATTAAAATAAATTAAGAAATGTTAAATACAATTATAAAAAATAGATAATTAAAAAATAAAAAGATTAATTAATTACTTTAGATATAGCTTTAAACTGTTCATTTT